ATTAGGTCTTCAAAAGTTGCAGGATACAGGGGATATACAGTATTTGTTTCTGTTTAATTCATAAAAAATATATAAGAAAAAGTACAAATTAAAAACAGGGAAATGAGAAGACAGGCTCACATTATTGCTATTTTCATGGCAAATGTTCAGACAAGCTAGTTAGTCCTCAGCTGGAACCTGCAATGCCACATCCACAGGGTTGATTCATCCTTATTCCTTTCATATTCCATTGCTAAGTTCCATTCAAACAGATTTTTCTGAGAACTGCTACTTTGTGAAACAAGCTCCCAAGAGAATGTTTCCTCAATTACTACAATCTTAACATGTTCAAGTCTCTGGTTGGCCATTATCTATCCTATATATCCTCATGATATATGCCTCTTACTACCTCCTTTTCCGCCTTTGCAAGAATCTCATTCAATAACTCTCTACCTTGAGTGGCTCTTGGGCCTTATGTTGAGTGAACAATAGTGCTTTTTAAAAAATAGATATGTAATGAATCCTTATTCTACCAACCCTCCCGGATTCATTTTCGCTAGAATGTTACTATTGTTAACCACAAAAGATGAGAACATGTGACAAGGTGGTGGGTGTAGTATGTTAAATGCTAAAGCAGGGAACAAGCAATGTTGAGAGTTTCCCCTGATATTCAAAACACAAAGGTGCTCCAACGGCCAGATTATGAGGTGAGGTGGTGAGGAGACCAAGCCAGGCCAAAGTAGTTAGCACATACCATTGCTATGACAAATATTTTGTAATAAACACTCTCATTAGCAGACTGTGTACTGAGAAAATCATATGCTTTTTGAATATCTCAAATCCAAACAGACAATCTCTATGTAAGCGTGTACACTTACAAATATATATATATATGTATGAATAAAAAAAGACAAGAGGCAAAACTATTTTTAGCCAATGCTTATAGTGCTCTAAGGGACTTCATCAAGGGTAAGGCAAAATTTCCTCTTGTCTTTATTCATTTACAGATATACTCTATCAGAAAATAATATATATATATATATATATATATATATATATATATATATATATATGCCACATATCTTCATTCAAAAATGTTTAATTGAATAATATAGACATATGCTGATTTATTTCTATAATAATCCTTTCTATTTCTCTAAGCAGTTCCTTGATTTTGAGATGAAATTCATCAAGGAAAGTTGCGTGGTTTTTTCTAACTCGCGTACTTTTGATCTCCTCCTGAGGATAATCTTGGGGGAGATCGAAAACACTTGGGTAGGAAAAAGCTAAAGTGTCTTCCTTTCATGCTAAAATCAAGATTAGAGAAGTAGAAGGAATTATTACATAAACAAATATAATATGCCTATATCATTCAATGAAATATATATATATATATATATATATATATTTATACACGTTTCATTAAAAAATATAGACAAGTGTTGTCTATTTATTTTATGTAAAATTTTTTCGTATCTTCTGATAAGTTTGGTAACATTATCATTTACCGAAAAAAGAAATTCACAATATTTATCCATTATTTTTTAATAAAATCTAAGTTTTCGGCTTACTCAAGCCATTATCAAAGATGTAAATACAAACATATCAAACAATATATGGACACGACAGTGATGATATAGTCTGTCATTGTTATGTTTACATAGTGGATCACTAAGCAACGATGAACACGCGCATATAAGACGCTAGAAGCGAAAATCGCACCGCATCTCATGACGTCACACATGAAGTGGAGAGAAGAGAGGTGCCGCAAACGTTTTTGGTTGTAATGTGGATTTATTTAGAAAAACATATTATGCTTTGTTTTCCATAATTTTACTATATATATATATATATATATATATATATATATATATATAGAGAGAGAGAGAGAGAGAGGGATGTTGGTGCATAATTAGAGGTGATAAATGAGGCTTTTTTTTATTTCCTGTTCAGCTGATTTCCATCCACCCATTTCAGACATATTGCATCAATCTATACATCTCAGGTTTATCACAGCTATCTCTGAGATCACAAAACTTTATGGCAGACATGTTAACCAAGCAGCAGATATCATTTAAAATAGTAAAATATTTCTCGACAATCTTTTTTAAAAATTAAGCTTTGATAAAAGCACAGATAAGGAATTTGCTAGCACTTAATGCATAATTCCATGTAATCCATAGGCTAAATATATACTAAATTTCATGGCAGGTAATCTTCTTCCACACCTATCAGATATTAATACTCAGCCATTTTGTTTTTCTTCCTCTCAAAGGCATTGTATTCTGAACAAACAGAGAAGATCTGTGCTCCATCATTACAACAGACTTTGCTGAAACAATTAACCGAAAGAAAACAACCGAAGAAAAAAAGTGGATTTAAAACACCAAGTTTCAAAACATCTCAGACATAACCGACATTCCTACTTTCCCAAGTATAGTTCTGATGGTAATACTCATTAATTAATTTTTAACTATATTTTCTTTTTTTATGCTTTTGCTTTCTATTTTAAGGTTAAGGTCATCTTTACATTCAGTAAGCAAGCAGCAATGGTTTGAATTCACATAACCTCATCTTGATATACTCAGCTTATCTTCTGGAATGCGTCTTTGGCTATTTCAGTAGATCTTTGGATTTCAGTGTCACACTTTCTGTTAGAGCACTTCCCTTAAAATTTTGGTATTTGGTTTTGGTATCCCCAACTTGTAATTGCACATTCTGGACTTATCCTTTTGTTAACATTCTGTCTTCTTAAAGTTTATATTTAGTCCTTTCTTCTCCCTTTCCTTCAAAACTCAAGGAGAGAGTTGAAATTTCTGGGGCACATAATGAGGAAGAAGGGCTTGGAAAATCTGATACTCAGAGGACAGACTGAGGAACAGAGGAAAACAGTGCATAAAATACTTGATGGGCTTGAGTAAATGGATTGGGGCATAGGGTTTAGGAGAAATAGCAAAATGACAAAATTTATTAAGGGACAGAAAGTAGTGGAGGGACACGATTGCCTACATCTTGAGGGAACATAGTACATAAAGAAGAACTCTTGATATTTTGTTTTAACATGGACACCAGCTTAAGATTATGACAGCAGAGACCCCTCTTACTTAACAGTCATAGAATGTAAAAATTATCTGAGAGTTGAGATAAAAAGCAACAATAAGATGAAAGAGATACTAGTCAGAAATGAATAATAATAACAATGCTTCATCTAAGAAATTCTTATTCTTTCTTTTTTATACAGGCTGCTTGCTTAACAGTCATAGAATGTAAAAATGACCTGAGAGTTGAGATAAAATGCAATAAGATGAAAGAGATACTAGTCAGAAATGACAATGCTTCATCAAAGAAATTTGGACATAATAATCTTTTTCCATGGTACTCATTTGATTAAATAAGTTCTTTGTAGCATCATCAAAAGAGTCTCATATTTACAAACATTTGGTATATAGGAATGCAGAACAATTTTTATTCTGATAATGCTTAATCCAAAAATAACTTTGCAGATTCAATATTTCAGCTCTCAGTAGCATTTACAATAATTTTAAGAGGAAGTCATGAAAATAATATTTTTCAGTCATGTTTTGGTAAAATCAAGAATTGCAAAGACAAAACAAAAGAACAGAATAGAACTTCACTTGAGAACCATGTTTGCAAATCTGTACAGAAATATACCGCATGAAATATAAAGATGGTAGTTCCATTCAACTTCAGTTTTATAGCCCATGAAAATGTTTACCAAACACGTTTGTTTTTAAACTATTCTTCCTTGGACTTCACAAATATTATAGGATCAGATTCAATTATTAGAAATAAAACACACATGCAGAAACATTCACAGTCTTTTATATACATTTAAATATATATTAAGGATATGTGGGTGGTTTAACAGTTAGTGACTCAGAACAAGAAACTGACAAGTAGCCATCTCTTCTACTCCAATAGCTTCATACCTCGCACCTCTTGCCTGTGGAACACCCTTCCCAATTACTGTTTTCCTGAGAGCTATAATCTCCAACTATTCAAATGTAATGTCAATCGACATCTCCAGTTACCTTGATCTATCCACTATCCCTCTCCTCATCCTTTCTTCTATCACTCCTATCTGCTTTGCTCCAAATCTTCTGCAACCCCCTGCATCCTAGTGGTTTCATGCCTTGCTCGGGGCACAATGCTTAAAAAAAAAATTTAAAAAAACCTGAGTTCAAATTCCAGTCAAGTTCATTACATTCACTTCACATTACATTTTCACTTTTCATACCCTCGGTAAATTTATAACTTTAACTCTTATCCCCCACCGTAGCTAATAATAAGGTAGATCGGTTTCTTTAGTCTTGTTTAGTAACCAGTGTAGAAGTACAAATCTGAATTCAAAACTGACTGAGCATGGGTCTAGCAAGTCCATCTCATAAAAAAACCTATTTGCTATGGAGACCAGTGTAACAATGCCGACAATGTCAAGGTTGTGAACCCATAATTGATGTACACAAAAGTAGCAAGCAGGCTGATCTTCTTTATTGCTGAGCCAGTTTTGGTAACCATTTGAATAAAAGTGTTTAAGAACTTGAAATTTGATCCCTCCATGGAATTAAATAAGAACCATTACTTTCCATCATATATAATAGCCAGACAGCCAATTCCTATCACAGATGCCTGTTCAGATTTATTTGTGCTTGTTCAAAACCAAAGCCCATTTCTGATTTATACTGCAACTATGCTGAATAGATCTTAATTAGAATTTCTTAGAGATTTATTCATCTTGTTTGGATTATCAACTCTTTGTAGGCTATTTAAAGACAGAAAATATTTTTATATTGTAAGAATTTTTTTTTTAGATAATAATAATTTTAATTATACAAGTCTTACTCATTAACCCATAGTGGGGAGAGGAGAGGAGAGGTGGATTCCTACCTTTCTAAAAAGTATTTGCACACAAGTGAATATAATGAACCCAACTGGAACTCAGCTCTCTGATTAACAATTCTAAGCCATTATCTATTACACCACCTGCACATCCAAACTTATAGCACCTGGTATTCCCAAGCAGTCACCTATCTAGGTACTGACTTGACTCGACATTGCTTAACTTTTGTGATAGTATGGGAACTGGTAGTTTCAACGTGATATGGCTATAAGTCAGTTTCTGGGAGAGGACATATAATGTCATAATCAGGAGTTTGAACAATGCTAATATGCTCAAACCATCGGTTGAGATGACTCGTAACTTCATGCGAGTACAACTATCGATGGCTTCTGAACCATATCATTATTATTGGGTTAACCTGTAGTATACTTTCCAGGCACTTTTCAAAGGTTTCACATACTGGGATTGCCTCCCGAGACTGATAACATCAAAATGGTACCTTTCTGACAAATCAAATATAGTGAGATTTGAACCTGGGTCTCATGGTCAGAAATTTAACTTTCTCTCCATTCATCCACACACACGTATTCATTCCATAAATACAAACAAAAACTCATTTCTTGTGAGTAACTAAGCTATTGTTTTGTTTTAAATAAAACCTTTACACTTTTTTCTCTAAGATCAGAGTGTAGTATCTACTCAGTCTCTGGATCCTTCCGAGTTGGAATCGGGTAGCCTTTTTGACCAGATTCTTTTCCTTTAGTTATCTATGAACTGACTTCTTAGAAAAAATAATGGCAGTGTTTTCTATTATCTTCTCCATGGTTTTGAATTCAGAATAGTCTTTCTCCTAGACAGGCTATCATCCAAGACTAGAAAGTCCACTCTACCCAGCAATTTCACCCATACCTGGAGAAGGAGAGTGATTGCCAATAATCTTTACAATACTGATACATTAGTTACTTTGGATATTATATATACTAGGTGCGTACAACAACTGATGTGCTCGGTGGAGGAGGGCCATATTCACCATTTGACAATTTTGTAGCAATACACGCTTAAAGGTTTTATGCAGTTTTGAAAAACATTTCTTTTCATGGTTAGCTGTAAGGAATTGTAAATGTAGGACTACCTTACACTTAAGTGAAATAATAAAAATAATAATATTTATTAAGAATTTATTCGAAGAAATATCAAGTTTTACCGAAACATTGTTGACAAATATGTATTTAGTTACATAACAAACAAATAAAAATAATATAAATTTTGATGCTATATTTGATTTGTTGTTCGGTATTTTTCATTTTTTCCTTTGTTATTGGCAGCATTTTAGAATACTTTGACTGCAATGCTAAGTTTCCTAAGTTGAACAAAATGTAGCTATTTCGTTTACGCTTTGTGACCTCTCTTTTCCATAGTTGTTTTTAGATCGCTTTCTTCCAGTCTTTTTGATGGGCAATAGAAAATTTCTAAAAATTTAGAATGATCTTATTCCATTTCAAAAATAAATCCTGTAAAAATGCATACTTTAAATTAATATACAACCAAAAATAACAAACTTTTAACAAAAAAACCTTAATGATTTCACTTTCTTTATGTAACAATAATGTAATGATATTTCACAGATAAATCTATCGTTTATGTTACCTCATCTCATTGCATACTTACAGCCTTTAAACCTAAATTAAGGTTGAAATATTACGTAATCACTTCCAATTTTTTGTAAAATATTTGGATATGATATAATGAATAATTTGCAGTGAAACAAGTAATTTTTGATTTTTTTGACAAACATGTCAATTATCCTAACTTCTTTTTTAAATATATAAAACAAAAACATGGTTGGAAACCATTTTTGAGCAGCCTGGATTCAATATTTATCCTGATAAAAAAAAAATAGTTTAAAAGTTACACATGCTATTCTGCATGTAGTTCCTTTTCAAACTGAACCAATCAGCAGCACAGATTGTGGTGATTGATGAAGCTGATGGAAACAGTCAGGTAAAAACAGTACATGTCATGAATGGTTTTCAAAGTTCACAAAAAGTGAATCTGACTCGGAGAACAAACCAAGCAGCAGTTCACAAGAATTTGGAAGTGATGACTTGCAAGCTCTTTCAAATGATGACCCCACTCAATCAACATCAGAATTGGCTGAAAAATTTGGTGTGGATCACTCAACAGTTGTAGAACGTTTGAAGAGTAGAGAGAAAATTAAAAAAAACAGTAAAATGAATTGTGAAAGCAAAGCAATAGACTGCAATATCATTTGTGTGTGTGTGTGTAGTAGTAGTAGACTGTCACTGGTGATGAAAAATTGGTTTACAACAATAATTTGACGCATAAAAAAAAAAAAAAAAAAAAAAAAAAAAAATCAGGGGTACATTCAGAATGGCCTGCAGCATCAGAGGAAAAGCTAACATTTTAGGGGAAAAAAAATGTTATTGATGAGTATTTCGTTAGATATGAAAGGCATGATATATTATGAATTACAGAAACTGTTAGTGCAGTGTGTTATCTTTGAAGTTTGAACCGAATAAAAAATACATGGCAGGGAAGTTGGAAAATCAGACTACTGCATGACAACACCCGTCTACAAATTGCTTTGACTCCAACCAATAATGGTCTTCAAATATAGAATTCTTCCTTATGCAGTATATTCACCAGACTTCGCTCCATTAGATTATTACTTATTTTGACCAATACAATTCTGGTCTTTGATGTCTAAAATGTCATCCAGAATTTAGCTGCATCAAAGCCAGAGGTATTTTATCAAGATGGAATTTGAAAACTTCCATAATATAGGTATAAGATCACAGTAAGCAAAGAAAAGTATTTTACTGGTTTAAAGAATAAAAATATAAAATATGTACTAATTAATAGTAATTAACTAATCATAATAAAAATGACTATAAACATTTGCAAACATCATGCATATTTATAAAATATACAAAAAATCCTGAACAGAGAATTTTCATTGGTCTTTAACCAAACATACCTACAAATGAGCTGAGATCAAATACAGATTAAATATGGATTGGAATCTGACAGAATAATAAAATAAAGAACAAATAGGAAACATTTACCAATCTAACATGTTTCACTTTTATTAAAGCTTCATCAGAGAATGAGATATCTAGAAAAGTGTAATCAAAGAAAGGTTACTGAACAAAATAATCAAACAAAGGCTGATAATGAATAATAATACTTAGAACAAGAACAACACATATAAGATTCGCCAGCAGTACATCGAAGAAGTTGTCAACTGCTAGAAGTGAGTTAAGTGAATTTCACAGTGAATCTCCAACTGCAGACCAATATACAGTATTTACTGCTGTTTTTATGTGAATAAAGACACACCCATTATCATCCATAGATATAATACAATGAAAAGGAAGAAAGAAATTCTGTTTTTTTTTTTTTTTTACTTTAGTATTGTTTGATTTTCATGGGTCAATCATGTTTCACATGCATTTGACTTGTTAAATGAATTTTAGTATAATTTATGGCATTCCAAATTAAATGTGGTTATATATGTAATTTTACGTGTATACGAATGTATGTGTATGTGATTTTATGTAAATATGTATGAGGTGCGTGTATGAAGAAACAGTAAATTATTTTACTATTACCTTCAAATCTTACTCCATCTTGATTTGAAACCTAAACTTTAATTAAGAAATATTACCCATCTAAAAATAGCTACAAATTAAATTCATGAATTAGACTAACTAATAAAGATTTTACCTTAACAGTCATTCACAATATTAAAATATTACTATTAGTAAATTTTTATTTTTTATTTTTGTTTATTAATATAATATTTGGTTTATATTAAATCCCTAATTTATATGTGGAGTAGTTGAATATTTAAATTGCTAACAAGCATTAAATTTAATTTCTTTGTGGAGTTTTTAAACATTTCAATTACTATCAAACGTTAAAATCTGTGTTTATCTAAATTTCTAAAGCTACAACACCCCTCTCCTTCCTCCAAAAACCCTACATATATCTCTTATCTTATCCCTTTATTCACTCCCCCTTTTTTCCCATATCATTTCCATTGAGTTGACCGATTAAATAGGTCAATGTCTGATCCTTAACCACTCCTTCCTCAACATTAAATATTGTAATTAAAAATAAAAATAAATTTTAAAACTCTCCCTTCCCTCTTTAAACTCGACCATGTCTCTCATACTATTCCTCACTGCTTTGAATATACGCTCTTTTAGCGCTAGAGGGCGTCGTATGTCAACTTACATAAGCTTAATACTGCCTATCAAAAGTGTAAATTTTAAATTCATTTTTCGTTTCACCTTTGAAAGTGAAGTCTGAAGAGCCAGAGAAAAATAAAATTCTCTGGTGAAATAAATTATAACAAATGGAGTCTTAAACTGGTCTGTTTTTCTTTAAATTAAATAATTCGCTCTGACTTAACATTGAGCTGTCAGGATTTCATCCTCCTTGGGATTATCCATATGGATTACCAAGATTTTCATTACTTAAATATATATATGTATATATATATATATATATATTATAAATTAATTGATTTAAAATATGTTTTTTTTTCGCTACACAGTTCCAACCATGTTTCAAAAATAGAAGCTAAAAACCCCGAATTTAATTTTGCAATATATATATATGGTAGAGAAAATTAGGGAATCAACCGATTCTGCTATCTTAGTTTCAACCTTTTGGTATGATCGTTATTTTGATGAAAATAAAGCACAACATATCTTCAAGTATATACGGTACAAAAAAAACACACACACACACACACATATAAACATACACATAAACACATACACAGGTGTGAATCAATAAGTCAGTAGCCTCATGCAATTATTAATTAAATTTTTATCTGACATTTTCACTGTATAATATTCGACAAAGCATTGAGTGCATTGACAAGGAAGGAGACTGTTGAAAATTAAATATTTGTTGTATAAAATAAATCCTTTTTACATTACCAAACTGTGAATTTATTGACTCACCTGTGTCTATACATACCATTTATTATGCATCTCTGTAGAACTTATAAGAATATACATGATTGCATTTCTAAGTAAGTGCATCTGTATAGTTTACAGCTTTATTGGAAAAGGTGTGTATTTACACTGGGTCACTTGTTTATTAAATTTTGTTCAGAAAAATATAAAGTTGCAAAGCTGAAAACAGAAGGCATCATTTCTTTGAAACAATTTTACTTGTAAACCAATACCAGTTCGACTTCTGATTGCACAGAGTAACTCCACACACCAAGGC